CAAACCCCCCGTGGGTAGGTTTGTTTGCAAACGTGCCATTTACGATTTAGTGATTTATGCACTTTAAGTTTGAAATAATGGCTTAAATGTTAAGAGAGAAATAAAAATATATTGGGAGAAGGGTTTCTTCAATTTGGTCAGAGATTAGCATGTTTTTGGGTAATGGTTGTTATTGTGAGATGAGATAATTTTTAAGAAAAGTCCTAAATTTGATTTGTGGGAGGGGAACCCCTTTCTGTTTGGGTTTGGTAAGATTCCGATCTTCAGGCCCTTTAGGTGCATTGCCATTTTTTGGATAGCTGTAAACGGAATGAGGGATACAAAAAGTACTTTGTGCCTCATGTTATGCTTGTGTATTCTGTTGAAGCTGTCTAGGAGAAGTTTGAGTAGAGGGTTGATACGGGGGTTTAATGTTCTGTGTATATAGTAGGCACAATAATTATTATTATAATAAAAAAGAAACGCTAAGCCACAAGGGCTATACAGCACTAGGAACAATAATAAGTTTGTATATTTTGTATATTAAGTAAGTTCGAACTCTTGAAGAGTGGTTGGGTGTGTTGTCTGGCACTGGAGTTTGTGATCATCCACACAGCAGCATTTTGTTGGGTTAATAAAGGTTTAAGGTGATTGGCTGTGGTGGATCCCCAAGCACAAATACCATAGGTGAGGTAAGGGTATATTAGAGAGTGATATAAAGTAAGGAGTGCCATTTGAGGTACATAGTATCATATCTTGGAAATGATGCCTACCATTTTGAAAATTTTCTTAATTATATGCTGGATGTGGGTCTGAAATTTAAGATTACAGTCAAGGTGTAGACTTAGAAATTTGCCCTCAGTGTGTCTTGTAATAGGTGAGCCATTTATCGATATGTTTACCTGAATATTTAATGCTCTGTTTCAAAAAAGCATGAAGTGGGTTTTGTCTATATTGAGAGTGAGTTTGTTGGTTGTCAACCAATTTGATATTTTATGTAGCTCACTATTTACAGTGTCGCTAAGTATAGCCGGGTTTGGGTGGGAGAAGACATAAGTGGTGTCATCTACGAATAGAACTGGTTTAAGGAGTTGCGATGGATTTGGGAGGTCACTGATGTACGTAAATAAGAAAGAGTAGTGGGCCTAGAACACTTCCCTGTGGCACTCCAACAACTACAGGCTGAATAATGGAGGTCACGCCCCGGTGGCCTGGTGGCTAAGGCTCTCGCTTCACACACGGAGGGCCCGGGTTCGAATCCTGGCGGGGTGGAAACATTTTGACGTGTTTCCTTACACCTGCTGTCATGTTCACCTAGCAGCAAATAGGTACCTGGGTGTAAGTCGACTGGTGTGGGTTGCATCCTGGGGGAGAAAACTGAGGACCCAAATGGAAATAAGTCAGACAGTCCTCGATGACACACTTACTTTCTTGGGTTATCCTGGGTGGCTAACACTCCGGGATTAAAAATCCGAAGAAAATCTTATCTTATCAAGCCATTTGTGTATACATACTGGTGTCTGTCACTTAGATAAGATTTTAGGTAATTGAGAGTGTCTTTTGACCCCATAATGCTCTAGTTTTAGGTGGAAGATATTATGGTCTACTGTATCAAATGCTTTCCGTAGGTCTATGAAGAGCCCCAGATAATATATATACAGTGGACCCCCGGTTCACGACATTAATCCGTTCCTGAGAACTCATCATAAACCAAAATTATCGGAAAGCGAATCAATTTTCCCCATAAGAAATAATGGAAATCAAATTAATCCGTGCAAGACACCCAAAAGTATGAAATAAAAAAAAAATTTTTACCACATGAAATATTAATTTTAATACACACAAACTGAAGAAGACATGCACAGTTACATGACACTTACCTTTATTGAAGATCTGGTGATGATTGATGGGATGGGAGGAGGGGAGTGTGGATGGTCTTAGTGTTTAGAAGGGGAATCTCCTTCCATTAGGACTTGAGGTAGGAAGTCCTTTTCTGGGGTTACTTCCCTTCTTCTTTTAATGCCACTAGGACAAGCTTGAGAGTCACTGGACTTCTGTCGCACAACATATCTGTCCATAGAGGCCTGTACCTCTCGTTCCTTTATGACTTTCCTAAAGTGTTTCACAACATTGTCAGTGAAATAGTCACCAGCATGGCTTGCAATAGCTGTGTGAGGGTGATTTTCATCGCCCTTTTCACAAATGATCGCTTGAGAGATGCTATCTCCTGCTATCTGTTTTTCATTTAACCACACCAATAACAGTCTCTCAACATTTTCTAACACTTGCGGTCGCTGTTTCGTAATCACAGTTGCACCTTTTGCAAGAACAGCTTCCTTGAGAGCCGTTTTCCTGCTCACTATAGTAGAGATGGTTGATTGGGGTTTACTATACAACCTGACCAGTTCCGACACACACACTCCACTTTCGTACTTTGCAATTATCTCTTTCTTCATTTCAACAGTCATTAGCACCCCTGGTCTCGAAGGGTAGGCACTAGAGCTTTCCTTGGGGCCCATGGTGACTTATTTTGCAGAAACAAGCACCAAAAACAGTGATAATATGGATAATATGGAATGTACCGAACGTATCCTTAGATGCGCGCACACTGGCTGGCTTGTAAACACTGGTACACGCGGGGGAGTTCAGGCCACAAGTGGATACGTCTCGTACGAATCGTATCGCATACCGGGTTTTGTATCGGGAAGCGAGGCAAAAATTTTTCGATCAAAATGCATCGGCAACCGAATTTATCGGATACCGGTAACTTCGGGAACCAGGGGTCCACTGTAGTAATTTGAGAATCTGAATACTGTAATTGCATCAATCGTGCTTTTTTTTGGCCTAAACCCAAACTGGCAGGGGTTCAGTATGTTATGGGATAGGAGATAGGAGTAAATTAGTTTATGTATTATTTTTTCAAAGATTTTTGAGAGTAAAGGCAAGTTAGATATTGATCTGTAGTTATTGAGTTCTGTAGGATTGCCTCCTTTGAGGATCAAGATAACCCTTGCTGGCTTGAGTATAGATGGGAATGTTGAAGATTCAACAGATTTGTCAAAGTGCTGCAATAATGGGGGATAGCACACGAGCTGCTTATTTATAGATGATTGGTGGCAAGTTATTTAGGTCTCCTGCCTTTTTTTTAATGATTTAATTATTAGAGAGACTTCAATAGGATTTGCTGGTGCTAGATATAGAGTATGTATGTGGGTAACTACCAGTGAGGTAGTCTTGTGGCTGAATATGTGCATTTGGGATTTTGCTTGCTAGTTTCAATCCTATAGTAGAAAAGAAGACATTAAGTTTGCTGGCAGTGTCTATAAGCTGTATGTGTGATTTGTCTGGTTTCGCTAAGTTAATCTTTCTGTTTCTAGACAGTTTTTTAGAGCCCAAAATTTCCGATAAGGTTTTCCAGGTCTTTAATATCACCTTTTATTTCATTAAATCTGTTTACATAATACATTTGTTTGGACTTCCGTATTAGATTAATAGGTATTGAGGTGTATTGTTTTGTTAGTTCTTTTGTTATTAGACTCTGTCTGAGTTGTTTTTTGTATACAGTAGGGTCCCACTGCTTTCCGGCTACTGCCGGAAAGCAGACATCACCGGAAAGTAGAACGCCACTTGTTACCACTTATAAATGTCATACAATAAGTTTAAACTAACATATATTAAGTTAGCAATAGAAGATGGCATTAAAAACAATAAAAAGTAAAATACACACGCAGTACACTCATTAATTACCACAAAATATTTGTAGTCGTCATGTAGGGTGATAAGTGAGTAGTGTTTATTGTAAGAAGTTAGGTGTGGTAGGTATGGCCACCCTACCCACACGTAATATACGTAATATAATTTTGAAAAAATATCATAGATGGATTAAGCAAAATGTCTACGTTAATGTTTTATGTGATATTTAATGCGCCTCATAGTGATTATTATTGTGTTATTATTATTATCACTATTATTATGGCATCTTCAAGACTATTAAGACACTCTTAGTGATTTTAATGTGCACGTGCATGCCAGCAGTGTGTAAGTTGACTCAGGTACAGGTACACATAAGTATAATTATCAGAGTATGTATATATAAAATACGATATAACCTTAAAAATACTTGAAATTTTGGAAAGTTTCCAAACACAATGGAGATGCAGTGCTCATGGAGAATGTAAACAAACAGGGTGGGGCACGCCGTATTAGGAAGACGGGGAGCTGTATACTGTGGTCATAATTTGAATTATTATTATTATTATAATCAAAAAGAAGCGCTAAGCCAGGTCATAATTTGAAATCGCCGTATTAACGCAACGCCATAAAGCAAAACGCCATAAAGTGGGGCCCTACTGTAGATGTTTTTTACCAACAGATTTAAGTATACTATTTGTAAGCCGGGGTTGTTTAGTCGCTTTGCTGAGATCTGCTTCATTTTCATTGGACAATGTCTATTATAGAGGTTATGGGTTTTGTGTAGAAATATCCTGACACATTCGTCAATATCGTGGTTGTCCACTAACTCACCCAGCCAGTGTTATGTAAGGCAGTAATAAATTATTTACTGATGACTCATCATGTAGGCGAAAATTATTATTATAATCAAGGGGGAAGCGGTAAACCCGTAGGATTATACAGCACCTGTGGGGGGGAATGTGGTAGGTATTCTGGCTTAATTCAGGGAATTGGAGCACAGATCCAATTCCCTAGAACAAGAGCCCCTCACCATCATCAAGGAACCTGCCTTCAAGGGTGTGTACACCTGGAATATACCTGGAGTATACCTGGAGAGGGTTCCGGGGGTCAACCCCCCCCCCCCCCCCTCGGCCCGGTCTGTGACCAGGCTCCGTGGTGGGTCAGGTGTGAGGTAGTCTGTAGATTGCTCCAACTATTTTTTTTTTTTTAGGTTTTTGGAAGCGAATCTGCCAAATATATATATTGACCATATTCATCCCTGGTCGAATGATTATATAAACCCATGAAAGCTATGATAAGTTAAACAAAATGAACAAAATCGCTGGTACCTTTTTTTTTCTTCCTTCTTCTCAATTACCAGGCTAATTTTTTTCAGCTTGAGCGAATAGCTGCTACGTACGAATTTCTTCATGGTGGACACTGTCCTGATGTTGAGGATGATGTATTGTGAGGTTATACAAGTGTGAACAAGGACAGCATCCTGGCCATGCTGTCTTCTTTCTGTTGGGTTTATAAGGGTCACTGGCGGCGTAAGCCGTATCGAACCCGACTTCCCGATGGTACGAGAAAGATTTGTTGTCCAAAGCTGGACGATGATAAGATTTCGTTCGGATTTTTAACCCCGGAGGGTTAGCCACCCAGGATAACCCAAGAAAGTCAGTGCGTCATCGAGGACTGTCTAATTTATTTCCATTGGGGTCCTTAATCTTGTCCCCCAGGATGCGACCCATACCAGTCGACTAACACCCAGGTACCTATTTGCTGTTAGGTGAACAGGACAACAGGTGTAAGGAAACGTGTCGGAATTTCCACCCGCCGGGAATCGAACCCGGGCCCTCCGTGTGTGAAGCGGGAGCTTTAGCCACCAGACCAGGGAGGAATCATGGGGGAGCGCTAAACCCGTAGGTTTATACAGCGCCTGTGAGATGATGTGGAAGGCATTCAGGTTAAATTCAGGGAACTGGAGCACAGATCCAATTCCCTAGATCAAGAGCCCCTCACCAGTGTCAAGGAACCTTCCTTGAGGGGCCGGGAGGACAGTAGTGGGCACGGTAGACCCTATAGATGGATCAGGAGTCCAGATCTTGGTCAGAGATGTTGCAGAGTATTATAATCATGACCAATTATCATTATTATTATAATAAAGAAGCGCAAACCATGTAGACAGTGAAACAGTGTTGTTGTTAAGGGCCACTGACAGTTTTCGCCATAGTAAGCGATGTTTCCCTATGAACGGGATAAATTTGCCCTAAACTGGTAAAAGAAATGAGAACAGGAATTCCTTTGGCAAATAAGAGCAGTAAAAATACTTCCCGATTAGGCCAAGTATTATTATTATTATTATTATTATTATTATCAAAAAGAAGCGCTAAGCCACAAGGGCTATACAGCATTAGGCCAAGTAGATCCCCATGGAAATAAGTCACTTTGATAACTTTTTTTTTTTAATTATCCTGGGTAATTTACACCTATAATAATAATTATTATTTCTAGTACATGATACAACTGCATGATGATGATAATTATAATAAAAAAGAAGTGCTAAACCTGCAAGGGTCATACAGCTTATTATTATTATAATCAAGAAGGAAGCACTAAACCACTTATCTTATCACTAGCATTATACAGCGCCTGCTGGGGGGGGGGGGGTTGTGGAAGGTATTCAGGCTTAATTCAGGGAACTGGAGTACAGATCCAATTCCCTAGATCAAGAGCCCCTCACCAGGCAACAAAGAATCTTCTTTGAGGGGATACAGCTTAATAATAATAATAATAATCTTTATTTACTACAAGTACATGTACAAGATATACAGACCATAGCTGACATCAGTGACATACTACTATATAGAAACCTGCTTGTTATGCTGAGTATTTCCCGCAAATTAGGTCAGTTTTGTCCCAGGATGCGACCTACAGCCAGTCCACTAACACCCAGGTACCTATTTTACTGATGGGTGAACATAGACAACAGATGTAAGGAAACACATCAAGTGTTTTCACCCTCGCTGGGAATCAAACCCTGACACTCAGCGTGTGCAGCGAGAGTTTTACCAACCAGGCCACACAAATTATACTTGTATCACCTGTACCTAAATAAACTTATTTACCCCAGTGCCTAAATCCCAACAGGGAGGAATACCTAGAACCTTTACTAGAGTTTATTACAATAATAAGAACTAAGCATTAAACCCACAAGACTCATAGTCACTAGAACAATATTGTTCCAGACCCTGGAGCTGAACTCTTCTTCAGGCTGAGGGACTGACCACCTCAAATACTTTTTCTCCAAGGTTGATGGACTGACTACATCATCTTTATTTCATTTCTACTGCTGCCTTTGTATTTGACTGAAAAAGCCTACTATTTATTTATTTATTTATTTATTTATTTAATGTCTTTTCAAACAGTACATTGAGATTGTGCATATACAAAAGTGGGATGCAATGTAAAGAGAGCCTCTTATGCCTAGGCATTATAGGCCAACTTAACATTATTGGCTTACATTCTACTTAATACTAAGGAGTAGTGTAACATAGTTGTACAGTAGGAAAGTAATTATTTCATAGTTGTACAGTAGAATATTAATTATAAATGAATCAAAATATGTATAATACAAAGATATATTTATATTAAGTTAAATTTATATTGAGTTAAACAAGTTAAGAAAGCCTAGGGAAAGTATGGATTTGTCAGTTAAAAACAGAGTAGGGGAGTTAGTAGATGGGGAGAGGGAGGTATTAGGTAGATGGCGAGAATATTTTGAGGAACTTTTAAATGTTGAGGAAGAAAGGGAGGCGGTAATTTCATGCACTGGCCAGGGAGGTATACCATCTTTTAGGAGTGAAGAAGAGCAGAATGTAAGTGTGGTGGAGGTACGTGAGGCATTAAGTAGAATGAAAGGGGGTAAAGCAGCTGGAACTGAGGGGATCATGACAGAAATGTTAAAAGCAGGGGGGGATATAGTGTTGGAGTGATTGGTACTTTTGTTTAATAAATGTATGAAAGAGGGGAAGGTACCTAGGGATTGGCAGAGAGCATGTATAGTCCCTTTATATAAAGGGAAAGGGGACAAAAGAACCATACCCCCGGCTGGGATTGAACCCGCGGTCATAGAGTCTCAAAACTCCAGCCCGTCGCGCTAGCCACTAGACCAGCTAGCCACAATAAGATTCATCCAACTAGGTATATTTCTACACCATAGGAAAGTTAGCACAGGCACCTCTGTGACCACAAATGCAAGTTTTTACAGACGAATCTCCAGCTAGCGTGGCCGTGACGAACTCTAGCTCAAGTCCCTTCACTGCCGTGTCATTACGATTTCTTAAGTCAGGGGACAAAAGAGATTGTAAAAATTATAGAGGAATAAGTTTACTGAGTATACCAGGAAAAGTGTACGGTAGGGTTATAATTGAAAGAATTAGAGGTAAGACAGAATGTAGGATTGCGGATGAGCAAGGAGGTTTCAGAGTGGGTAGGGGATGTGTAGATCAAGTGTTTACATTGAAGCATATATGTGAACAGTATTTAGATAAAGGTAGGGAAGTTTTTATTGCATTTATGGATTTAGAAAAGGCATATGATAGAGTGGATAGAGGAGCAATGTGGCAGATGTTGCAAGTATATGGAATAGGTGGTAAGTTACTAAATGCTGTAAAGAGCTTTTATGAGGATAGTGAGGCTCAGGTTAGGGTGTGTAGAAGAGAGGGAGAATACTTCCCGGTAAAAGTAGGTCTTAGACAGGGATGTGTAATGTCACCATGGTTGTTTAATAATATTTATAGATGGGGTTGTAAAAGAAGTAAATGCTAGGGTGTTCGGGAGAGGGGTGGGATTAAATTATGGAAAATCAAATTCAAAATGGGAATTGACACAGTTACTTTTTGCTGATGATACTGTGCTTATGGGAGATTCTAAAGAAAAATTGCAAAGGTTAGTGGATGAGTTTGAGAATGTGTGTAAAGGTAGAAAGTTGAAAGTGAACATAGAAAAGAGTAAGGTGATGAGGGTATCAAATGATTTAGATAAAGAAAAATTGGATATCAAATTGGGGAGGAGGAGTATGGAAGAAGTGAATGTTTTCAGATACTTGGGAGTTGACGTGTCGGCAGATGGATTTATGAAGGATGAGGTTAATCATAGAATTGATGAGGGAAAAAAGGTGAGTGGTGCGTTGAGGTATATGTGGAGTCAAAAAACGTTATCTATGGAGGCAAAGAAGGAAATGTATGAAAGTATAGTAGTACCAACACTCTTATATGGATGTGAAGCGTGGGTGGTAAATGCAGCAGCGAGGAGACGGTTGGAGGCAGTGGAGATGTCCTGTCTAAGGGCAATGTGTGGTGTAAATATTATGCAGAAAATTCGGAGTGTGGAAATTAGGAGAAGGTGTGGAGTTAATAAAAGCATTAGTCAGAGGGCAGAAGAGGGGTTGTTGAGGTGGTTTGGTCATTTAGAGAGAATGGATCAAAGTAGAATGACATGGAAAGCATATAAATCTATAGGGGAAGGAAGGAGGAGTAGGGATCATCCTTGAAAGGGTTGGAAAGAGGGGGTAAAGGAGGTTTTGTGGGCGAGGGGCTTGGACTTCCAGCAAGCGTGCATGAGCGTGTTAGATAGGAGTGAATGGAGTCGAATGATACTTGGGACCTGACGATCTGTTGGAGTGTGAGCAGGGTAATATTTAGTGAAGGGATTCAGGGAAACCAGTTATTTTCATATAGTCAGACTTGAGTCCTGGAAATGGGAAGTACAATGCCTGCACTTTAAAGGAGGGGTTTGGGATATTGGCAGTTTGGAGGGATATGTTCTGTATCTTTATACATATATGCTTCTAAACTGTTGTATTCTGAGCACCTCTGCAAAAGCAGTGATAATGTGTGAGTGTGGTGAAAGTGTTGAATGATGATGAAAGTATTTTCTTTTTGGGGATTTTCTTTCTTTTTTGGGTCACCCTGCCTCGGTGGGAGACGGCCGACTTGTTGAAAAAAAAAAAAATTTATATTCTAAAATGTTTTGTGAAAGACAATGATTCAATTATATTCCTGTCAACAATGGATAAAAGGTTCAAAGTGATTGTTTCAGTTATGATGTGGGAGTACATAGGTGAGTAAATGTGTACTGAGTATTTAGCATTTAGTCTAGGGTGATTAAGTGGCTTTTGAGAAGAGTCTTAAACTGATTTTCAGACTGGGTTACTTAATATCTTCTGGTAATGAATTCCATATTTTGGGGCCCTTTATGTGCATAGAGTTTTTACACAGTGTGATATGGACACGAGGTATATCAAAAAGAGATCTGTGTCTTGTGTTGTGGTCATGTGTCCTGTTTAGGCTGGTGAGGAAAAGTTTGAGTGGAGGGTTTATATTTGTGTGTATTGTTCTGTGTATGTAGTAGGCACATGAATAAGTATGGATGTTCTTAATGGTAAGCAGATTCAGACTTTTGAAAATTGGTGGAGTATGCTGGCGGGAGTGGGAGTTTGTTATCATTCTTACTGCTGCCTTTTGCTGGGTTATTAGGGGTTTTAGGTG